TATTATATATTAGGGTTAGGGTTAACATATTAGCATTGTCTCTTCACAAAAAAAGGTCCTGGGTTTGAATCTTCTAGCTGGGGGGGTTTCTATAAGAAGTACTCGTGTTTTTCTTTTGTCTGCTTGGCTTTTGGTTACCTGCCATAATCTAAGAATGTGTGCATTAAATGAACTGGAATCTCTAAACTGCCACTGGGAGTGAATAGGATTGTAAATGTGTTTGTGCGTCAGTACTGCAATAGGCTGCTGATCTGTCCAGTATACTGGATAGGATCCGCAACCATGAACAGGATAAGCAGGTACCAGGGCTTTAACAATGTATTTGTGCTGTGACAGTATGGAGGTCATGGTCCGGTGCTACACGTCGAAAAGAAAAGTATCTTTATCACAGTACAAAACTTGCACTGAACCCTGATATAAACCGAACCATGTATTCCGTGTCGTGCTACAGTAGCTCATCTGTTGGTATCAGAAGACCTTGGACACAATATTCTGTATGCTCAGACCACAAAGATTTTGTCTATCACCTTACCAAACCAAATTGGACCCTTGTCCAAAGTCGCTCAAATCCTCGCACTGCTCGTTATTCCTGCTTCTAATGCATCATCTTTGAGGACAAAACGTTCACTTGCTGCCTAATATATCCCACCCACTGACAGGTGGCATGATAACAAATAATCAGTGTTATTCACTTCACCTGTCAGTGGTTATAATGCTACGGCTGATCATATCAGCATACAGCAATGCCAGTTGAGCCATCTGTTGCCAGCAGTGAAGAAACAAGAACTCAAAATACAACATGAACCACTGAAGCCTCTGTTAGATTGTTGAATATTGACAAAAAACCTTACTTCTGATTAACTAACAATAAAACCTAGTGCTCATTTTCTCCATTCAGACTTCACCAGTTATCTGCAGGAATGAAAAACCAATACACCACCAGAGGCATTATCACCAAGAACTGTTTTAATGGAGAAAATGAGTGTTTTTTTCTTCAATATGCAAGAGGAAATGTACTCACTGATGAATGTAATCATCTAATAAGAGCTGCATGCGGCTTAATAGAACCCCTCTTTTTCCCCCTCACCAGAGAGGGCAAAATGCCTGGAAACATTACTTTAATTTATTCTATCTTTTAATAAATCACCAGGGCAAGCAAAGGAGGTCCCTGCAACAGCCTCTTTTCTATTTCTGCATCAAGTTCATGGCTCTATCTAGGAATAGTGATATAATTTATCCAGAAAGCTATAAAAAATATATTTGGATTCAATGGTCAAAATGCAATCTCCTCCAGAACAGGCTATCTATGTAGCCGAAGTTACCATGGTGATGTCAGACTGTAAAACCAGTAAATTTGCTAGCTCATTGCTAATTCAGTCCTATTGTTTTATGAGACTTTTGCTAACAAATGTATTTATCAAAGTCAAGACACCAACAGGAGCATACAGAGAAGATCAAAGTTACAAATGTGACTTTGAACAAGAACCTGTACACTTTCACTTTCAAGTGTGTGTGTGTGTGCGTGTGTGTGTGTGTGTGAGACAGATAACTGTGTGTTGTGAGGTAAAAGAGCTTGTCACAGCTCCTTTTGTCAAAAAATATAGATAAAAAAATTACATGATGTAAGAGATACATCCTCTTCCTGCACTGCTCTAGGGAGGGACCGTCCACACACACACACACACACTACTTGTTTCTGTATGTGCGGAGAAGTAACAAAATTTGCGACTGATTTAAACCAAATCTCCTGCTTCCAGTTTAATGGCCACATCCAGTGAAACGTCTGGTCTTTTTCCAAAATGGAAAATGCCACATTTTCTTTATGGTTACTGGTCAATAAATGGATCTCTCCAGGCCAAACGGTACTGCTGACCAGTAACATTACTTCTTAAGAAGATAGACGTTTCAGTCATTTCCAGTGAGTGAGAAGCAGCTAAATAATGCAGGCACGCTAATAGCTTAAAGCTAATGGATAATATTCAATAAAGACAATGGCTAAAAGCTAAAAGCTTATGGTTAAAACACATCACTTGACCTATTGTTGGTTGTGGCTGAATTAAAATACTGAAATATACATGATAAGTACTTGACACAGATGTGTGCACTGTTAAGTATATATGTTTAAGTATCTGGTGCAGATATCACATGTACATGAGCAATTTTGATTTATTTGTCATTCTTACATATGTTTTTTTTGTACGTTACTTTTGAAGTTATAGTGATTAATTGTAGATTCTGTTGAAGAATATCTAGCATATCAAGTTGAATATGTTATGAATATGTATAGTTCAAGTTGAAAAATAAGAGATCTTTATCAAAAAATGCTTGTTATGTATCTATCTGAAAAAAATAAGACGGCCAACATTCGTTCAGATATCAGTCTTTTTAAACTCTCAGCAGTACCCTAACCCTATTTTACGACACAATCAAGTGGCCAGATGAAATAAGTCCAACCAGTAAGCTGGAGGAGTTCTTTTTACTTGTTTCTATTGCAGTCCACCGAGTCTGAAAAGAGATATTGTTCTCAAAATGCCTACTTTACATAGTCTGAATATACCTTGCAAGATCCAGACCAGACTTAGACCTAAGCACTCTGCCTGAAATAACCTGATGCTCCATAAGAACAACAGGAAGGGCCAAAATATTTAATAAAGCTCTTAATGTGCCCACATAAAGCCTCATCAAAGATCATATAATCACACTTATGTGCAATACAATCATAGCGGATGTTCTTGATGTAAAAACGGACAGATTATGAAACAGTGGGAGACAAATGTATTTGTACTTTCTCAGCCTGAACACTGATGCCTGCTACCATCAGTGCTCAATCAAGTGGCCCTCCACTCCACTCCCCCCCCCCCTTCC